TGTGAGCATCAGAGTAGCCCCGAAGTTTTAGTTGTTCCCAGATTGGCTGGTATTTGATAGGAAAGGGAACAGGTGAAGTAGGTCAGGAACTCCTAAAGTCATCTGTTCCAGAATATCTGTGAGTTCCACCAATTGAGCGTTTCATTGGGTTGCCTCCCTCCTCTGTGTGAAATTTTGTTGACTAGGTAAAATTAACTTAAAACTTAATAGAAGATTCTATTACCTTGTCCTTTGGGAAACGACCTCCCTTTATTTAGCAGGAAAACCTCCTGTCCTCGCTCTGGAAACTGTGATAGAATAATGGTAGCCAACATTTATTGAGCCCCTAACATCCCAGGGAGCATCCAAGCCCTCGTGGCTACATCAGCAATGCCCCTTCCTGCTCGCTCAGCCCCTTCCTCAGACCCTGTGCTGGGCTGGGTGTGGGCGTGCAGACCTGTCTCCAGCTGGGCTCACAGGTTGCCGTGTGGGGCAGGAAGGCTTCTCCCTGCTCTTGTGGCCCCCACCTGGAGGAGAGGATCTGTTGTAACATGAGGAAAGGTCAGAGCTGTTATCTGTCTGGCTTATGACTCCTGAGAGGCAGTTTTGATGCAGTAATAAAATACTGGGCCTAAACCATGTTCCTAAATTTGTCACTTAAAAGAAAACAAACACGTGAATGTAAAAATGTTCATTTAAGACTCTAAAGATAAATCTGCATATGGTTTTGTTTGTTCATCCAGATGATATAGCACAAAATTATTTTTTTAAAAAAGGAACATAACTGCATTTTGGCATATGTGGTAGACTGAATAACAGTCCCCCAAAAGATATGCATGTTGTTACCCCCAGAACCTGTGAATATGTTACCTTACATACTAAAAGGGACTTTGCAGATGGGATTGAGCTCGCGATCGGGAGAGGTTGTCCTAACGGGCTGGTCCCACTGTTATCACAAGGGTCTTTCTGAGTGGAAGTGAGAAGCAAAGTGAGATACTCAGAGAAATGCTGGTGTGAGAAGGACTCAAGCAAACTACTATTGCTGACTTTGGACATGGAGGAAGGGGGCCACAAGCCAAGGAATGCTTCCAGAAACCAGGAAAGGCAAGGAAACAGATTTTCCCCTAAAGCCTCCCGAAGGAATGCAACCTGTGGACACCTTGATTTCAGACCTCTGAAAACTGATTTCAGACCTCTGACCTGGAGAACTGTTAAGATAATAACTTTGTGTTGTTTTAAGCAACTAATTTTACGGTAATTTGTTACATCAGCAAGAGGAAACTCCCAGGGTGTCATTAACGTCTGCAACAGAAACCAAAGCTTGTCACCGTAAACAATACTCTGCGGATACGAATGCTAAACTACAAGAAACAACATCAGGGAAGAAAAACTAGAAAATCAGTGGATTACTACACTCCATTGTCGAGCCTAATTATAAACTTGTTTGGACCCTGACCAGTTTTTAGTGTCTGTCGGTGAACACCAGGAATTTGCATTTTATTAAATCTTATTTCAATTGCTTGAATTTCCGGTGTCTTGGAGGAGCACAAGTTTAGCCAAGAATTTATACGTTGGTGCTTGTAATCAAGCTGCAGGTTTTACTCACTTTAACAAATAGAACCGTCATTTGTGAATGATTCTGGGGCCCACAGCTTGCTTTCATCTCATCACTCCTTAACATGTATTTACCCAAACACAAAACAGAAACCCAATGGGCAGTGACTCCCTTGAAGTACGCGCATCCCCAGCGGAGGTCCTCCCTTGATGGCGCCGACCAGCCAGAACCCGCACCCCCCAGAAAGAGAATCTGAACACAGGTACCCAGCTTCTTGGGACAGGGACAGGGCCTAGAGGGCAGGCTGTCACTTTCGGAGTGGGGAGAGAAAAAAGGAAAAAAATAGAATGGGAAGTCTGGTAATATCCTCCACATCCTGTCAGTTTGCAGAGTAGCAGAATAGAACAACCTAGCCCTTCATAGGAAAATGCTTCCAAATTTAATTTAATCTCATTGGCAATTTGGAAATTGCCTCAGGGTGCTGCAGGGTTTCCTCCCCACGGTCATGAATATTAATCATCAGGGTGTGGTGCTGTAGAAAACAATGAAGGAGACTCAAGGCTTCCATTTGCAGGCTCCTAAAAAACCCTGAGTAGAGAAGCATTTATTAGGGACTCCCAGTCCTTCCCGTGATGACCTGGAAGCTTCCCGTGGGCCTGCGAGTGGACTGGGCTACTTAAGTGGAGAAAATGTCTTGTGAGGCTGAACGGCCCTTCGTTTGATGATCACTTTCTACATTCCATGCGAATCAGAGGAGGTCGCGAGGGCTCAGCAAGTGCTTACTAGCACCTCCTGCACATCCTCTGCCACGTCCCCACCCGCCCTTGCAAACCAAATTCCACAGCCCAGGGAGAGTGTCTATATTCCTGCCCACACTCTTTATTCCCAGTGCCAGCTACTTAGCAGGTGCTTAACTGAATGGTTGGATGTTCATAAGCCCCTGGGGTCTGGAGGGTTCTCCCTGACTGGGGGTCAACATCTTCGTCAATACTGGCTACCAAACTCCTGACCAGGGCAGCCAGGAGAACTGCGCAAAAATGTTCAACAGGAGATAACACAGTGGCTACCAGGAATTTTTTTTTCCTAGATCCCAATCAGGAAGTCATTCTCTTCAAAAGGAAAACACAGTCACCCCTTTCCCTGCAGTGAGGCAGAGGGCACGGGGTCAGAGTGCAGCACTCCCCCCCCAAAAAGGAGAGACAAAAGAAAGCTAATTAAAATGAATCACCTTTGAAATTTAAATTTTTGTTTAATTAGCAAAGATGAAGAAAAATCGGAAAAGTGCAATGACGCGGCACACCCTTCATTCACTCAGGGGGCTCATTTGGGAAAAGAGTTTGGCAGAGAGCATCTAGTACCTCAGAAATCAATGCTCCTTCCCTTTGGCCCAGTAATTGCACTTCTGGGAATCCATTCTAAGGGAATAATCCTAAATATAGAAAAAGTTTCATGCACAAGAATTATCTGTTATTTTATATTTAAAAATTACAGTGTCAGGTATATTAATAAAACCTGGAAACAACCTATATATCCAACAATAGAGGAAGAGAAAGTAAATTATATTGTATGACTATTATGCAGCTATTAAAATATCGTTTTTAAAGTTTTTATGACACGAGAAATGCTTGTATTATTAAGTGAAAATGGCAAGATACAAAATTTCATATACATTTTGGAATCAATTAGACATTTTCAAATGCATGGAAATTAGACCAGAAGATATCATTTGCTAATATTATAAAATTAATAGTGATTCTCTTTGTAGGTGGAGTGGGATTATGGAGAATTCTTCTGTTTGCTTTTATATTTTTCTATACTGCCCATATTTTTGCCATTGACATTATATTTTTCATACATTTATCCTTGGGGGTGGGGAGAAATCCTTTATTCTTGTTTAAGATCTTGTCTCTGAGGGATTAATTTAACACCCCGCGTTCAGAGAGTCGCTGTTCCCGGTGAAGGAAGAGCCACAGAAAGAACTAGTTGGCAGATCTGGGAGAGAGTTTGCTAGTACAGAGGTCAGCTGGATTCCTGCTCCGGCTCCGTGTGCACCTGTCCCTCTCACTGCCCCCTGTGGGTTCAGGCCCGCTGGCCCAGGAGCAGACCCCAGGCCTCAGCTACAAGGGCTGGAGGACAAGGCAGTCATGCGGGTCTCTTTTGGCTCTGACCTTAGCTTCTGTAACAGGTCTCCCTGGTTCTTTCCTTGAAAGCAAGTGCCCCTCTGACTCCCCTCCCAACCTCACCAGCAGTGGATTGCTCTCTGTTTCCTTGTGATTCTTCCAGCACCCCCACCTGTCCTCCCGGGGGCTGCAGATCTATCTCGAAACCCTGACACTCTGGAAGGAGTGCTGGCTTCTGAGATGAGCCCTCCAGGAAGCTGAATGCCCACTCTTGGTCTGCTGTCTGCTTCCAGATGCTTCTCTCTTGTGCCCATTCGCCTGCCAAGATGGTGAGTGATGGCCAGCCCACCCACCTAGTCCTTTTTACCGCCTGCAGCTGAAGCTGTCCTGATCCTCTCCTGAGCCGTGTCTCAGTCCCCCTAAGTTCCTCCCGGTCCCACTCACTGCCAATCAAGCTGTATGTGCCATGACCACTTATGACTCCTTATGCCCCTTCCCCACTTTCCCTTTGGGTCTGACAGGGAAAATATGGCCAACACCAGGGCCCCTTCTCCTGTTCTATTCAGGGTATTTACTCTGGGTGAGTGATTTGGGGAAATAAAATGGGACTGCTTCCTATTAAAATGATGGAGGACGTGATTCTACAATGTTTGTATTTCTGACGAGACAGAACCCAGCCCAGAGATCCCTGCCTTTATTTAAGAGTTTTAGAAAGATGTAAATTAATGATGGTGGTGATGATGAGCTTTTCTATGTGGCTGGCACTGTGCTAGGCACTGAACATGGACAGTCACATCTAATCTTAAACTAACCCCACAGAATGGGATGATGGTTCCATTTCACAGATGAGGACACTGAGGCTCACTTAGGTGAATTAAGCTGGTCAGAGTCACAGAGTTGGTGACCGAAAGGGGCAGGGTTTGAACCCCAGGTCAGAGACTGATCATTACACACCACTCCAGGGGATATAACCCCAAAGGCTTGAGGTCTGGGCAGGTCACTGGGATGGGTGAATGGAGGGGCCACCGTGAGCAGGGTTTGCTGAAGAGTGTACATCCATCTGTAGGGTGGGGGTCACCACAAAGCAATCAGATGACTTAGGCCAAGCAAGAATGGGGGCCCAATGTTGCCAGATTTGAGTTTTCAAGAGATGCCAACCAATCTGTGTTTTTATGTGTAACCTCCTGTTTGGAAATATGGGTTCAGCATTTCCAAAAACACTGGGTAGGCCGAATCAAAGACTAGATGGGCACCAGTCGGCAACCTGCCCCAAGCTGGACGGTGCACCTGCCAATACTTACCTGTGACTCACGCCCTTCACTTTGTAAGGGGCTAGGGCTACATACCTGCACAATCTCTAGCATTTCTGCCTTGCTGATGTAGCCATTTCCATCCAGGTCATACATGCTGAAGGCCCATTTCAGCTTCTGCTCCAGCTTCCCCCTCGATGTCACGCTCAGGGCTATGATGAATTCTCTAAAGTCTATCGTCCCATCTCCATTGGCATCGAAGGTGCGGAAGACGTGCTCTGCAAATTTGGAAGCATCCCCGTAAGGGAAAAAGTTCCCGTAAATTTTCTTAAACTCTTCCATTGACAAATGTCCACTGGGGCAGTCTCTCAAGAAGCCTTTATACCATTCCTGGATCTCGTGCTCTGTAAAGTCTGTGCTTTCCAGCAAATCCTGCATGACCTCTGGGCGAAGCTTGCTGTTCTGTTTCCCCATCCTGGCAGCGAGAATTCAGCTGCAGAGAGAAAAGAAGACGGCTCGTTTTTAGACCTGTTTTTTAGAGGCACACTTTATAATTTGTGATTGTTCCTTTGGGAAAAAGAAATAGACTCTTTTAGTCCACAGCACTGTCTGGCTGTCCAACTCAGCCAAACAAAATGATAGACAGGCAGTCAGAAGATGCCGAGCAGAAATACCACTGACCAGAAAACGGTAATTCTTCTATACAGAGCTATGCAAAAACAAGGGATTCGTAACGAAAGAAAGAGGGAGAAAAGGAGGGAGGGGGAGAGCCAGAGCCAGAGCCAGAGCCAGAGAAATTGGCTACTTAGTTCTGTCTCATCTATTTGCAAGAGGTCTAGTCTAGCCTGACATTAAGACTTCTGAGGCTCTAACATCCAATCCAAGTATTAGCGGAGAAAATTTGAGGAGGAGAACGGGAAGAGAGAGGGAGACAAAAGAGGTAATTTATGTTTTATTGCTAGAATATTTCCCAGGAAAGTGCTGCTTGGGTACCTTCTGAATATTATGAAACAGATATGAGTAAGGAAAATACAAACCCATCTAATACCATTAAATGCTACCAAGCTAGATGGGTTATTTAAATTCACAAGGTCAATTCACTGTCAGCATCGGGTTCAGATGGTAAAGATGAGGCTTCATGAACTGCTTACGTGCATGCCTATGGAAGAGGCCAAACTTTCCTTTTTAAATACAATTAACCTCATATTTTACTGTAACAGTAGTACACATCCATCGTAAAATAGTAAAACAGCACAGCGACGCATAAAGAAAAAAGTTAGCAACATTTCAAATCTTAACACTTAGAGATAACCCTGCTAGCATTTTGGTGTGTATCCTTCCAGATTTTTTATATGCATGCTTATCTAAATATGCTATTAACATATGTTTTTAGTACATTTACATTTCAAAAAACAAGAATATATACACTTTTATTACCTATTCTTAAACTTAACATAGTGTGTGGGGGGGAACAAGGGCAACTTTTGTTAGATGGGGAAAAAAAACCTAGAATTAGCATCTTCCTATTCACAGAGCCCTCCACATTAAGTAAGTGAGCACCTGGCACCAGGCATGTGTCTGGTGCTGTGGATTCAAAGAAGAGTGACATGTGGCCCCTCCGTCTTCAGGGGCCTCCAGCTGTTTAAGTTCAGAAATGGCGGTGACAGTGAGGGGACAGTACACTAGATATTCAGTTCACGGTTACCAGGGAATGGATGTGGTACGATGAGAGAGCATAGAGCGGATACCCAAGCCAAAAGGGGGCGTAGCTGCTATCAGGAAAGCCTTCCTGGAGGAGGTGATATCTGAGCTTAGTTCCTATTTCCAAAGTCTTATGATTTAAGCACGGTCAAGATCAGCCCCTTCTCATAAATGGGCTCTGCACTTATACTTTGCATTTTTCCTATATTGGAAAAAATCCTGAAAGTAAAGCTTGTAAAATTAAAGACTATGTGAAAGACCACATATCCCCATTTTAATCATGATTCCCAGTTTTCTTTGAGATTTTCTCTTCTGATGTTTATTTGTTAATGTCTGTCTCCCACCTTCTGCAGGGTCAGCCCCTTCAGACGGAGTCTCTATTGGGACTACTTTTCCCTCTCTGGTCCCCATAAATAACATTTGGTAAGTTAATGAAAAAAGGAATGACCGATAGACAGATGAATCATTACAACACAGAAATCTGTAATAATCTTCCCAGAAAAGGAGTCTTTCCACTACAGCGATGAGGCCCTGGCTGTGCATCATAGCCATAGGATTTATCTTATAACTAGAAGTTTGTACCTTTGACCCCCTTTACCTGGTCGCGCCCCCCACCCCACTCCGCCCCCCCAGTTGGGGTTCTCTTATATTGAATTGCCTGTCTTTTGCCCCCACTAAAAATAAATTCCTAGAGGGCGGTGTTTGCATCTCACCCTGCTCAAACTTCTTGCATTTTATCCCTAGTTCAAGAAATGCCAAGCAATCTTAGTAATTGGCAAGTTGACTGATTTTGTTTTCTGAGTTTTGCACTGGAGGCAGAATGGGCTCCGCAACCCCCCCGCTCTTCCTAGACGGGGACCCTCCGAAAGGGTCGAGAGAGGACAGCACAGGTCCTATTAGCAGGACCAACAGCCGCAGGGGCAGGAAGGCCCCTCTTCACGTAGAATCAGGCAAACACCATTTTATGCAAGAGCAAGACCAAACTGCAGCTCCAAATGAAGCACAATTTATAAATTGAACCTTCCAATAACTTTCATTTCTCTCATGTGTCCCTTTTTTTTCTGGAGGGAGAAAAGCAAAGTTAGAGAGGCTGGTCTGTATTACAATTTCAAAACTGTCATTTAGTTGTTAAGTTGGCAATTTGCCTGAGGCAAGAATTCAGAAACATGAGGTAATACATAATACATGGCTTTCCAGAGCTCCGGAACATTTTTATGAAATTTACAAGTAATTTCGGGTTTTCCTTTTGGGGGGCTCTTTAAAGTACAGCTCTTTGGTGTGGCGTTCAATCAAGTCACCATCCCTATACTTTGGTTCTGTGCAAATCACCATGTGCCCAGCCTTAGAAAAAAAATATCATTTTGATATTTAGATCTACTCTCTTAAAGAATGATTTCTTTTTTCTGGGTCTATACAACACTGTTTCTTCAAAACTAAACTTAAGTTCCTTTCCCAATGTCTAAAAAGTGCTTCTCACTTATTAGCTGTTTTTGCACTAGAAACAAATTGCCTCAACATTTTGGCTAAGTCTCCCACTGAGACTGATCTGTGTGTAGCTATTTTTCAGTAAACAGTAATTAAACCACATTTACAAATTCATTAGCACAGAAAGGCCATAACACAAACAAGGCAGAGGAGCATGGAATAAGTGATTTGGGAAGCCGTGTTTGCAACTGAGTCCAGAACGTGTTTCCATAGATAATTACAAATACTTTACCAAGTATGATGTCTGAACTTGAGAAAACCATCTGGACTTGGTTAGACTGTACAACAGAAATCTCAGGGGACATACAATAGCGTTTCTTTCCCTGGGGGGAAGAGGGGAAAGACAGAGGAATGCCTGACAATACCTTTTTCTATTGGAAGACAGGAATTTCTGCCTGTTTGAGTTGAAGAGGGGATAAAAATACCATCAGGGAAATGCTGTGTTCATTAGCAGTCCTGAAAAAAATCGTCTGGAGACAAAAGTTGCACGTCAGGTCAGATCCTTTTCATTACTCCATTGGGTTATTAAAACATTAACTTTGTGCTAGTAGAACATAGTGGGGAAAAACTCAGGCCATGGAATAAAGCTTGGTTTCAAAGCCTGGCTGAATTGCTGACTAGCGCTTGGGTATTAAGTAATTCGCTGAACTTTGTGGTGCGCCTAGGTTTTGTTTATCTATAAAATGAGTTCAGCGGTGCGAGTCTGTATCTCACTGATTTGATGTGAGAATTAAATGAGACAGTCATGTGCATAAAACTCTGGCGCTGAGGCTGGGCCAGACGCTGCGGTAAATGAAAACCACATCTTGTCCCTGATGGCCCTTCATCCATTATTCTATTGAGACTTCACGGCAACCCTGAGTGATAGGACAGCTTCCTCTGTTTTATAAGCAAAGAAATGAAATCTCAGGCCAAGCGACTTATCCCAAGTCACATAGCTTGGGAATGAGGCAGCCAAACGGTAAGTTCCGTTGGCACTAGGCTGTCCACTGGTTTTGCCACTACGTCCTAGTAACCCTGTGGACAAAGCACTGACGGAAGTTAAGACGACAGCTCCATAAAAAGTCAGAAAGAAGCAGTTTGCAGAGAGGAGACAACCTCCTATTAGCACTCATTCATTTCACAAGTAGGTGCGAAGTGTCTCCTAGGAGGGAGGCATGGCTCTCCGCACCGGGAATTCATCAGGGAACAGACAAAACCCTAGTTCTCATGGAGCTGACAGTCTAGTAGCAAGAGACATACGATAAATAAGATAAATAAGGGAAATGTTGGAGAGAGTTGTTCCACGGAGAAAAGTAAAGAAGGAAGGGGGTTGGGGAATGCCCTAGGAGTGGCTGGGTGGGTGTCACAATGTTAGCTAAGAAGCCAGGGAAGGCCCCATTAAGAAAGTGACACTGTCAAAGGAAGAGAGGAGGGGAAGGAGGGAGCCATGGAGATGACTGGGCGAAGGCTATTCCAGGCAGAGAAAACAGCCAACGAGAAGGTCTAGACGGGGAGCAGGCTTAGGGGGTCAGGGATGTGGCTGGGGCGGAGGGCGGGGAGGAAAGCGGATGAGACCAGAACAGTAACGAGGGCCGGGTGACATGGGACCTGTAGGAGACGCTAAGGGCGGTGGCTTCCACTCCAAGTGAGACGGAGCCGTTGCAGGATTTTGGGTTATATTCTACCAGGAACTCTCTGGCTGCCGCTTTGAGAGTAAATCAATGAGGGTAGCGCAGAGGCAGGGAGACAGCTGGGAAGCCATGGCACGGACCCAGACACAAGCCAAGAGCCCCGGGACCAGTGTGGCAGCAAGCAGAGGAGGTGAGAGGGGCCTGGACTCTAGACACAGCTTAAAGGGAGAGTCCACAGGATTGGATGATGGTTCGTGAACAAAGAGACTGGTCCGGCATAACTCCAAGGTTCTGGCCTAAGCAACTATAAGGATGAAGTCGACCCTGAAATGGGAAAAATGCAGAAGCAGGGCTTTGGGGCGAGGCAGGGGCATGGCTATAGGTGCTTCTGTGCAGGTATTCATTCTGAGATGACCGTGCCCGGATTCCGGATCCCTCTCTCCACTGGGATGTCAAGTAGGTAGCTAGATGGGCAACGTCTGGACTTAGAGGGCGAGGTCCGGGGAGAGGGTACATTCAGGAGTCATCAGCATGCAGACGATATTTATAGCCAAAGACTAGATGAGAGCCCCAAGTCGGTGGTGGTGGGTAAAGGACAAAAGGGGACGGTGAGCCCTTATCTGTTCTGACACGCAGACTTGGAGGGAGGAGAAGGAGCCGGTGGGGAGAGCGAGAAGGGGGCCCGCGAGGCGGC